AAGGAGTTCGAGATGACTGATATTGGATTGATGTCATACTACCTTGGCATTGAAGTAAAGCAAGAAGAGAAGGGAATCTTCATTACTCAAGAAGCTTATGCTAAAGAGATGCTACAGAAGTTCAAGATGGATGACTCAAATCCAGTTTGCACGCCAATGGAATGTGGAGTCAAGTTGTCAAAGGAAGAAGAAGGAGAGCATGTGGATCCAACACTCTTCAAGAGCCTTGTTGGAAGCTTACGTTATCTAACATGTACAAGGCCTGATATCTTACATGCGGTTGGAGTTGTGAGTCGTTTCATGGAGCATCCAACAACAACTCATTTCAAGGCAGCTAAGAGGATTCTACGCTATATCAAAGGTACAAGCAACTTTGGCTTGTATTACTCTATTTCTGACGATTACAAGCTTGTTGGATATAGCGATAGCGACTGGGGAGGAGATGTAGATGACCGGAAAAGCACAAGTGGCTTTGTGTTTTTCATTGGAGAGACGGCTTTCACATGGATGTCAAAGAAGCAACCGATAGTCACTCTTTCAACTTGTGAAGCGGAGTATGTGGCGGCTACTTCATGTGTCTGCCATGCTATATGGTTACGAAGCTTGCTAAAGGAGTTGAGTCTACTACAAGAAAAGCCAACGAAGATCTTTGTTGATAACAAGTCAGCAATAGCATTGGCGAAGAATCCAGTTTTTCATGATCGAAGCAAGCACATCGATACCCGCTATCACTACATTAGGGAATGTGTCACCAAGATGGATGTGCAATTGGAGTATGTAAAGACAAATGATCAGTTAGCTGATATCTTTACCAAGCCTCTCAAGCGTGAAGATTTTATCAAGATGCGGAGTTTGCTTGGAGTGACAAACCAAGTTTAAGAGGGGGTGTTGAATTATAAACTTTGGTTTGGGCTCTCCCAATTGTCCAAGATTCAAAGCAAAAGTCAAGAAGCCCAAGAAGCCCAAGAAGAAGAAGTGTGTAGAAGAAATTATGGATAAGACTAAGAGAAGGATCTAGAGATAGCTCAAGTAGTATAAATAGGGATGCTTGGCTCACTTGTAAAAGCATCACACAACAAGCAAAA